ATTCGAGGAGTGTCAGCTGGGCGCTGAGTTTGGCGCGATGCCAGCCCTTTCCCACCACTCAGTGAAGGCTCGTTCACCCCTCTTTGAAGGCCCGAAGCTGCAACAGTTGATGGAAAACGGGCTTCAGGGATAGTGACGGTAAAAGAGATACAGAGGCTCAGTACGGTCTAGTATTCCTATGTAAGGGGGGGAGATGGGGAGAGTCGAAAGAGCTAACGCACCCGCCCATTATAGCCTTGTTTGTTCCGTAGAAGTTTGTTTCACTGTAATTGGTATCCCAAAGCCTATCAGAGCCCATTAACGCCACCTTTGCAGTTCTGTACTGTCATGGTCACTCCCGGACTGTATGCCGTGCATCATACACTTCCTGCAAGCTGCTCAATCGTCTCAGGATCCCAAGGAGATTGGCACGGCCGAGGAATCGAAGCGAGTCGACGATCAGCTGAGTGAGGCGGCTCTCCGCCTCGTCGAACCCACCTATACAGTCATCTTGAATATGTTCAAGTCACCGCACATCGCAAATCCGAATCTCCTCCACAGGTAAGGAAGTCGCTCACGTGGTTGTCTTGTGAAGGTTGAAGGGCCATTCTGCCCTTCTAAACCTTTTAGAGGTTAGAAGGCTCACAAATAGTGCTGAACGCTCGATCACATCTCTTTACGTTCTCCATTAAAGGGCAGAATTGCGCAGCGGATGCTTTGATCAGGTGGAATGTCCAGAGTTGTCTCCATTCACGCTGCTGTCAGCTTCTCTCGATCCTGCGCAGTTCCCGCTTGAAGACGGCGATCCGTCGCCATTGCAGCTGGATGCAGGTCTTGAAGGTACGTTCTTTCACTTGGATTGTTGGCTCTCCGAGAGGAATTGACCGAGTGCGGTGGAAATGTAGCCCGGGATAGGTCGGCTCAAGAAGACTGAGGGGGCCAAATACTCCCAGGCAAAAGTGTAATTAGGATGGTGCGGAACAGTTCCTTTCACAAACAGTTCACCAGCTCGAGAACGGTTCACCCCGTCGATAGCCTTCTCTTCAGAAGTATTCAAAATTCATCGTACTGTATTTGTAGCTGATCTGGCCACCTTCATTCCGAGCACAGAAAACTCTTTTCAGTACCTCCTGGCGAGCTGCCGTGGTTGGATCTGCTGCCGTCTGAGCTGGCGTCACTGGAATTGCTTCTATCGTTCGTCGAACATCTTGCTGGCGCTCTCGTCACTGCCCCCTCTTGTCTTCAATCTCCTCTACTTTTCTCCATTCAGAAGCTGATCAATTCTATCAAGGATGGCGGGTTTGGTGAGGATAAACATCATCTTTTTATTATAATGCGGTCATTAGTGTGGCTAGCCGGGCACTCAAAACCAAATTTCTATCTAGTCGCTCTGCTTAAACCAATCCATGAATTAGATTGTAAATCTCCATCCTGAGGTTTCTCTAGCTTTTACTCAAAGGCACACTCAGCACAACCTGACATAAAGGCGGATTCAGTCTCTAACCCAATGTCCTTCTTCATTGCGCTCTCATTATCTTAGAGGGAAACCTTCGCACATTGCTAAAGCAGCATGGTGAGCCTGCCACTACCTTCAGCGTGGCTGCTGAACTACAAAACCGGACGCCGGACGATTAGAGGTCCACAGGAGGCAAGGGAGCAGGTTTGGCTTGGCATATCAGCACCTAATCATTTCCGCAAAGTCGCAGCGGTGACTAAAACAAGCGTGAATTATCGGACTCGCGTCCAACCTAATCGCTGACATAGTCCCCTCCGCGCAGCAGCGGAAACACCTCTGAGACCTATATATTCACGTATCTACGCCCTTACCGAGTTGACGATAGAGCGACCACCAAATTTAAAAACTTATTGCAGGGCTGAACAAGGCGGTGCTTCGCTTGGGTCAACGCCTCTCTACTCCACACTAAGGAAATAAAGAGGATCCGAGAGCCGACACCGAAAAGGCTTGCAAACGGGCGCACGATCGATACCTCGGTCAGCCGTCGGAATTTTACCAAATGGTCGTGATATCCTCGCTCATGACCATAGACCAACTTTCTAGATGACAAGGACATTTGGTGGCCCTGTTCGCATTGGTCAACGCTATAGTCGCACTTATCTGTCTGCGATCCCTTCATCAAACTGAAAGAGTCCTCCATATGACCTCGTACTACTGGCTCTTTTCCTAACTAATCTTTCCTTAAAACTATACCTAGACCCTCCCACTCCGCCTATTACCATTTAATAAAATCCAGTTTCAGCTCGTGCATCAGTCACTCTGTGGACTATTGCCTGATAGCGACCAGACTGCAGTCTCAAAACGGGCAAGATCTGGCCACGGTGCACGCAATTTCTTCGAACATGTCGCGCGTGCCCGCATTTTCAGAACGCACAGTGGAACGACAATACTCGCCAATCCATCTGGGATGCCACGTACGATATGCTAGTTTAGAATAGCGCAAATCTTCCTGGCCTTGTCCGGGAATCCGCACACCGACTCTCGCAAAATTTCCATAGAAACCCTGTAAAGATTTGATAGTTGAACCTACAGTTTGAAAGAAGAGGCAGCCAGTTTCCAAGCCGCTTTGAAGCGCACCTCCGTCAAACCCAGCCCCCCCCTTCACACCCAGAATTTGCAGCAACAAACGACTACAATTTGTCCCAGAACTCCCCCAAAGATAAAAAATGGAAAGTGACAAAAGAAGAAGGAATCCAACGGTGTTTTGACGAAGCGTGCACCTGGCGCCGGCTTGTTCGGAAGTTCATTGATCCGATCTAGCAAGGATAGAAGTAATATCACGAAACGACTAAACGAAAACATCTATAATATATGTCTGGAAAGAAATAGAGACGGGGAAGCGGCGGGACTACGGGCGCTCAATCCCCACCCCTCCCCCCCCCTTTGGAGCTCGCCTCTTTAGCCTCCTCCTCCCTGTCCTCTACGTTACGTTTCATAGCTAGCACTATCGAAGAATAGGAGAACCTGCGGAAAAGATCACAGGTATCGATTTGTTTGATTTCTTCCAAGTGAAGAATAGATATCCATCAGTAGAGAATCAGCGAGGATCGCCTAGCAAGTTCTTCTTTCGGATTTTCCACTTGAGCTGAACAAAATCAATCGATCCAATTTTTTTTCGCATGGGTTCTCCAATTTTTCCGAATTATAGAGTATGAATATGCCCCAGGAACTACAAAGCCCTACAATAAACCCGAAACATAAGCTCTTCCTTAAACACAGCTTACAGGTCGGCAACGTTGACACCAATTCGTCTTCTGATCTCCCTCTACGTCTGCAATTCCACAGAAGAATCGGGCGATCTCGGCACAGTGATGGTGGATGGAATTGAAGGATTGCCTCTCAAAGAGCGTATGCTTGCGCAACAGGTATCCACCAAATCAAATCACACTTATTCTTCCTAGAATTCCTCCTTCGTGACCTTCTCCACTTCAGGTCTTTCTTGTCGATTCGCAACAGCAGAAACATCAAAATGGCATATCGGGTGATGAACCCGAGAGCGATTTGGATCTCGTAGTTACCGTTGACGGAGAGAAGCAAAGGTCTGTGGTTATCAATTGGCCCGCGGACCGTTTACTGCCAAAAACTTGCCCTGTGGCCTGTTATATGGATTTCTTCCCTTTTTTAGCAGCAGTCGTTACAAGGCATCGGTTCAGAGTTACCGTGATGTTTATCTTTGACCATGAGTCGTAGAAGGCATGTATAGTTCGCTGCAGATGCTGGATCGAGTCAGGGGATGGGATGGGTTTAGCGTTGCAGCACCTGTTCTTTACCAGTTATGAAAGCTGGCAATTGGTGGAAAATGGGCGAACAATACCTTATATTCACGTTCATAGTGACACATTCCAGGATTTCGGTCTCCTTCCTGATCTCAACGCTTCTGGCTCATCAACTGATCGTACAAATGATCGGGTCCATTCTCTGTCCATGTGAACGTCCGCCAAAAGGTCTTGAGAAGATCCTCTCTGGTGGAGACTGTGCAGGACGTTCATCGCTGGATATCCCGGACGACGTTCGAATAATGCTGCATCACTCGCTGGACGCGAGTTTTCAGGTATGATCGTTCTCAGGGTTCATCCTGTCGTTGAGGAGATTTTGCAAAATTGATCCATTTTGAAATTTCCTCCTCTTAATTTTGCCAACTTCCTACCTACTATTTTTCTGGAGCTTTTCCGAGAACCTCCAGTTTTTCCTATTAAAAAAAACTGTCGCTCTGAAGGGGGGGGGGAATGGTGGGCGAAAAGTTGAATAAACTCTTTTTCGAATGACTTTCGCACAAGACGAACAACGACCCGCTCCCTCACCAACCCAAAATACAACCCTCCTTCTCTGGGGATCCCATTGTCATAATTCACTGAAGAGTCAGGGGCAAGTGACGAAAGCTGAACCGAGCGCGTGGTCCCTACGCTCTCTGACTAATAAGACTGGGCTTCGTGTAGGAAAGGAACCCACTTGTATGGTAGGAGATACAACATAGCTCCTCCCCACCAGTCCCCATGGCATCTTGTAGAAAGTTCTCAGGGTGGGTCGCGGGAAGGTGTTAGATGTTGAAGCGCAAGCGATCCTCCACTTTAAGGGGAAAGAAAAAGTTCTTATTTACACAAATTTTAATTCAGTGTGATGCGTGACCTGTTTCTTTAAGGTAGCATTGCTACTTCTAGCTCTATCAGCGCTGTTATGCTATCTACGAACACGCGACTTTTAGGTTGCTTTGGACTTCGATTGCCGTCCAAGTCTTTCGGTATTTAGCGGCAAATGTGCATTGCTAAGGCCAAATCTTACCAAACAACTTGCTCATCGCAGCTTATCTAAAATGCACGTCGTGTTATTTCAATGAGTTCCACTAGAAAACCTTGAGTTAATTCTTCTCAGGTATACCCATATCTCCAGAGTTGGCGAAGGAGCGTGCTGCGTACTTCATTTGAGGGATGTTTTCGTTCCGAGACAATTGTATTCATGTAAGTGTCCAGCCAAGGCAAAATGAAAGTTGTCTTGAATGAAAATAGTCCACGGAAAAATATCTCATGCCTCCTCTGAATGAAGTACGCAGCCACGCCCTTCCTTCGCTGGGATATGGAGTGTACCGCATCCCATTCAGCAGGTTCAAGCAACTTTTACAAATGACAGTTTCCCTGTAGTTCACCCTTTGCAGTCCAATAGATCTCCACCGGCTGTGCAACTGTCACATCAGGATGGTAGCGTTGTTACGAGAGGTTGAGATACGAAACGCTGAGAAGAGAATCGCAGCTGCAGCTAGGGAATACAAGGAGGAGGTTCTTTTTTCAATCATTGGCAATTTTCGGACATGAAAGTGACGTCAAAGGAAAATATCAATTGCTTCAGAAATTCGAATTCATGCTGGTCGAATCAGACGGGGAGAAGCTTTATAAAATCGTATCAGATGCTGAGATCAACAACACTATTTCAGGTAAGGCCGCTTCATACTTTGCGACGCTAGGGTAGGAGGACAGCAGTCGATCGATTCCCATCGAATTCACTGATGCACATTTTCCCACGTATCGAAAATCATCCTTTCTTTTGCGCTCGTTCTTCTTTTCTCTGATTTCCTCGTTATGTGCGACCTAAAAATTCCTTCTTGGCGAGCTCTAAAGGACCACAGAGCAGCTCTCGATAAAGATTCCATGAGGGGTCAGAACTGCACGATTGGAGCGTCTTTCTAGGGAGGGGCAAAAATATTCATGTTAAGGAGGCGCAGTTCGGCATGGTGGGGGCACCGAATGGTGCTCGGCTATGCTTGTGCAGGCCAGCTTGTGAAAACTTGTAAATTCCTGTGACAAAATGGCCTTCTTGCGCGACTGCGCAATTTCGCAAGAATTTACAGGCCTATTAAAATGAGACCACTTATTCAACATGAGCTAACAAAGGGCACCAGCGAAAGTGCAAAATGCCCCTCCAAGCCGACCAGCGCCAGGGCTTTAAGGAGGCTGACTTTCTGAATAACTTCTACTGTTTCTTTCCTTGTTCACTATGTGTTGAAGTTTAGAGTATAAAAAACAACTTCCAAAGAGAC